TCCTTGGGATGAATAACTTCTTATCTGTCAAAGATTACATACGTGGGGAAAAACATGTTACGAAAGAAACAAATAAATGAGAACTTTAATAAGCAGTTTTAATTTTATACCTAAAAATACATAAAGAGTAAAGGTTAAATGAGCCATTTCGTCTCATAAATATGAAAATCAGGCGACACGAGATGAGTTACAGTTTAGAGTAACTCGTTAAAGTTATATCTCATCTCAAGGGTAATATTAAGATGAGATGAGAACCATCTCGTCTCATCGGCAAGGGTAATTTGCGTTTTCGATACATACTTAAATAAATATGTGCGGCAATTAAACATCCTTAAATTTTATATCTCGAGATTTATGAAGAACAGGCAAAATAGAGCGTAGGGTAGCATTTCATGGAAAGTATTAAACTTCAGAAATTAGTTAACACTTGTACTTATACTTAATAATGATAGTAAGTCATACATATGTAGTTGTACATATTTTTAAACTTTTGCATTTATAATGTCTTTGTTATTTCTGGTTGTCCCTATTAAGGCGTCGACAAGAAAGTCGGGGTCTAGTTAAATATTACAAAAATTTTCACTTATAAAACGTCGTTCTACCCAGATAAATATCAAAGTACATGTGTAGGCCAGTTAGCTGTATAAATATGTATATTTCTGTATGAATATGTGTATTTTACAAATGTAACAAATGATTCAACATGCTTTACTAGACTTGAAAAATAAGGACCCATCCAAAAAGGAAAATAACTCGGGTTCAAAACTGTATAAATCAAGTAACACATCAATCCCTGTGTAAGGGAACGTCCATAAAATATGTAACTCAAAATCAGTCATTTTTGACCCGTCCCTCCACCTTGTAACGAAATACATACAAATATAGATATGTACACCAAACTTTTACAAAGCGTCGAAAGTTGACCTTTAACGGAACTTTTGTGACCGTTCCCATACGTAAATAAAGGAACACCTGGTACGGAAAATTATTCTAAATTCTAAACCTCTCCAAAATAATGGAAATTACCCGCTAAATACTTAAGAAATTAGATTGGTAGATTGAGACGTTCTAAATTTTACCGCCGATATTTTTTTCCAAAGGGGCCATTCACAGGAAAGATAAATGCCATACGACTCCTAATTTTTGACATGTATTTACATAGCTTACAAGAAAGTTAAATTTTGAGTTTAGAGTTTGAAAAAATATGTATATTATTTAGCTACGGAACTCATGGATATGAACAATAACCCGGATTGGGGGTGGGAATCATTTTCCACCATTCCGAAGCTGACAGATCCTTCGTCCAACGTTTTGCGGGATGACGACGTGCTCACCCTGGAACTCAAATTGTATGTAGCTTCGAAGCAAACGATGAAGCGGAATGACGCTCAGGATTTGATCGGGGTCCAGGCTGACTGCAAGAAGGAAGTCGTAACGGCCTTAAAGTCCTCCCTGGCGAGTAAGGATTATAGCGATGTTACCCTCAAGACGGGAGATGGCGGCGTTTTTTACGGGCATGAAGTTATTTTGGCGGGTAAGTTCAGGGATTAATTTTACATTGGTAATATACAATTACGAATATTGGTTAATACAGGATTAAGGATTGGGGAGTGAGATTAGGAATAGAAATTAATTAGTCTCAATCTATAATCCCAAGTTTTAGTCCCTAATTCAACGGCAAAATAATTAGCAAAGGAGTAAATTAATTCCAGTTCCAGGAAATCTAAGCAAAATTTAATCCTGTGTTACTTCTACATTAAATACAATTCAGATTATTAATCCGTACTCTTAAAAACTTTAATAATTAATCCTTCATCTCTCTCTGAAGATTTTCAAATTTAATCTTTAACCTTCATCGAAGATTTTGCATTTTTTTACCCTAATCTCACTCCCAGGATTTCTGATTTTAATTGTTAATCTTAATCCTTCATTAATTATCACTGTATTTACATATGTATCAATAATTAAATTATCCAATTAGCTCGGAGTCCCGTGTTCGATGCCATGTTGAAGGCTGACATGTCCGAAAAACAGACTGGGGTCGTGTCCATTGACGATATTCAAAGCCCGGCTTTCTCTATTTTGATGAAATTTATGTATTCCGGAGAAGTGGATGAGTCCTGGTACAGTTGCGGGGACGAGGTCATTTATGCTGCGGATAAGGTGAGGGAAAGACTCACAATGGAACTTTTTTCAAGCTACACCCGGATCGACTAGCGAGTTATGTCAAAAAATCAAGCCAAAAATTAGGAGTCACGTGACATTTATCTTTCCGTTGAATGGCCCCTTTGAAGAAAAGTATTGGCGGTAAAGTTCAATTTTTGAGCAAATTTTCTCTTGCGTTTTCCTCCAAGGGACGAAAACTAAGGCGCTTGTGTGCGCATTTCTTCTGTACCATTAGTGCAATTATATATGAATAGCATGGTTCTATTTTATCCGATTTTTCTGTACCATTGGTGATCGTCAAACGTACTTTTCACTTCAAATTACTTGCATGGTTTTACACAACACCAACTGGGTTTCGGCTCTCTATAAGCCCAAGACAGGTCGCTCCTCCCGTTCATCAGGTAACCAGCCAGGTTACGACCCAGTGCGATTTCTATTTATGAACCCATGACATCTTACATCGCATCTGGGCCCTGGTAATGTCAACATTACCAGACCATTTGAAATGATAATTTTATTTCTATTTATGAACCCCCTTACCACTCGCCATTAGATGCCACTACCTGTCCCAGTCAGTATCTCATTTGGGAAATAATTTCCTTGTACTTAACTCCGACCAGGAGTGCACTCAAATGAGACACTATTAATGACTTGGGACACCCTAATCTCGATGACTTCATTGCAAAAATGCAATAAAATACACCTACCTTTTTTAAACGAACTTGGGTAACTTTGAACCTTGATGTATCGTTTGAATCTGAAAAAATCAATTAGTGAACCAATCAAATAACTTGGATATTCCGATTGAACCAAAAAGATGAAGATCTGAAAATTGAATAAACTTAGATTAAATACATATATGACCCTAAAATTATATAAGGGCTGGCAGTGGCATACAGGGAGAGGTAATGCAAATAATTTTATTGTCGTTTTCAGTGATTATGATAATGATGCATATTTTTATGAGCTAGTTCTGGTAATGTGTATTCCAACATTATCAGGGCAGCGTGATGATGGTAGAATGCTATGTATGAATCAAGTTTTGTTTACCATTTTTGTGACCTTTCGTGAAGCTAGTTTTGGTTAGTATCATTGTATGAGCCATGTGCCCTGGTAATGTGTATTTCAACATTATCAGGACAGCTTGATGATTGTATGCACTGTATGAATCAAGGTTTATAAGAGATGCATATTAACTACGTGTTATGACAATGGTGACTTTACGAGAGGTTAGATAGTTTTGAAGGTGGAATTATGTAGATTTGTATAAGAAAATATAGCTATCGCCAACGCAGTCCGTCGAAACATAAACATTGTTATCATCATAGATTATCCAATCATTTTCACGTCTATAATTAACAACATAATGTCCTGAGTTTAAGGAATTGCCCAAATGACTAACTATAAGTGTCAAAGCGTATACATTATCCGAGCCAGGTAACGTAAGAACATCTGATGCATACGACTTCTCCGTAATTTTTGTACCTTGATTTGTAAAAATTTTCAGATTAACCACTAACGTTCTTGGCGCCAATATCAGGTTAGATTTGAAATTAACCAATCCTGAGAACTTACAGTTCTCACAGAGATATTCCTGCTGCCCGGTGAAATGATTATTAACGCACTCTTGTAAATTTTGCGTTGACCTTCCGATGGATAGGGAAGTACACGATTCATTTCTCGTTCCTTTACTTTTACAAGTGCACGTAACCTCAGTTTCTATGGTGGAAATATATTCCTCTAGAGATAACCCAGAGTTGCGTAAGTTCTGCAGGAGGTCAAGGAGAAATAGATGGGGGTCATCTTGCATTCCAATTGAGTATGATGGCATGCATTCAACTAACTCCAGCCTGGTGCTTCTAAGGTGGCTAAGTGAAACTGGGGTGACTAATGCGTGAAAGAATCCTATTAGACAACGAGATAGACGATCTTCATTACATTTCAGAAATGCTTGAATGGAAGCAGATTCATAGATTACGTGAAGAATTGTGCTAATGTAGCATGTATTTCCTAAATTTGGAATTCCGAGATGAATTGAAGGGGTTGGTTCGGAAATTACAATGTCTACAGATAAAGCTTCGTTCTCTATGTCCATTTCCGACTCCTCGGGTTCGTCGCCTATGTCATTTTCGCTTACATCTACCTCCATTAATTCGGTGTGGCAATCTTCTAATTCCACATGTGAAGGCAATATATCTACATCATTTGGCCAAGTCACACAAATTGGTTTATGATAGCTAAAATAGCTTTCGTAGAACCAAGCTGAAACGCCATTCACATTAGAAAGACATGCATCTATCGATGTATTCCCATCCGTACTACTTTCTAAAGGAGTTATTAATCTGAAACCCATTGAAGAAAAAATCTGCCTCATTTGACATCCATCTTGGGTTAGAAAATTCAGGTTGAAGTCGCCGAAAACAATCATTGGGGAGCCTTTTGTGCTAGTTAAAAGATTTCAGATGTCCTGTACAAAACTCATCGTCCTATATTGAGGACTACGGTATAACATGCAAATTCTTACACCGTTTTGAATCCATCCAACTATTTGCAAATGTTTAGTGACACTTAAATTTCGATGTGAGTATTGAAAATCTGATATGCTCGCAGAGAATGAGTCACTTCTAAACACCAGTGTTCCAATAGATGACTGCATAGACGGTGAATCTATTCGATGCAAAATTGTAAATCCAGGCAGTTCTACCATATCTGAAATCAATGTCCGAGTTTCACAAAAGCATTGCATATCAGCTTCCATGTAGTTTCTATCAGCAACAATATCGTCATAGTGTGCTCGGAAAGACTGAATGTTGTGGAATACGAGTTTATTGGGATCATCTAGGTCTGGTAAATATCTGAGTGAATATGGGAATGATAATTCGCAACCTGGAAAGCTCTAATGCTACAGGATGCCTTAAAGTATCGATTGCACGTGGAGCATTGAAAGTACCGCCAAGAAATAATCCTGATAACGAAGGTGCCCGACTCATAGCTACATATATCGCATCCCTTCTCAATCCTCGAGTTGGAATATTGGCAACTGTGTTTGGGATAGACAGACTCTGTGATTTATGGATGGAAATAGCAGTAGCAGCAACCAGGGGAATTTGACGGCGAACAATTTGCATTCCTTGATAGTGCCCAAAACTATTTAATGCCCTGGTGTCCGAGAAGATCGGGGTCCAATGCAGCGGAATTTCTAATTGTTTGAGTAATCCTAAGTTATTTGCCCTTGCCAGTTGTCCTACCAATTTCTCCGAGAATTCCATAAATACAATCTTAACAGCTTTCTGCCCGTTAGTTAATGGCTTTTCAATTACCCTCGTTAATTTTCCTGTAGCACCATTAAACAATCCATCAGATACGTCAATATTTGTTGTAATCATATAACGAAGGCCGACTCTCAAAGCTACGTGGTATGGCATTCCTCCGGTTTGCTGCAAACTTAAATATTCGGCGGACTCCAACATTGCTTGTTGGGAGGCTAGAATCTTTCCACCCTGCACTCTATCTATGGCATATGAATTGTACAATGGCCCCTTTGCTCGATTTATCGCTTCGCGATTAAATTTATCGCAATCTGCGTTGCTGTAAAACAACCATGTTGCATCATCTGGAACAATTAAGTTTTTTCCAATTTCTCTACTCTTGAACATTTGGATATCTTCTTCTTCAAGCATTCCCATGGACAGTCTATTTAGTGCAGTTGCAAACTTGGCGTCATCTTTTTGCCTCATGATTTCCTTAAGCTCAAATACTCTAAATCTATTCCAGAGTGGATTTCCAATGATCGGGCCTAAAATTTCTTTGCTATCCTCGAAAACAAATTGTCCAAACACCGGACTAAGCTGATAGAAATCACCTACGACCAAGAGGCTAACCCCTCCGAATAATTCATCGACGCCTAGAATTTGTCTCAATCTTTGATCAATTTGGGTGAACATTTTCAAGCTAACTAACGAAATCTCATCGATTATCAAAACTTTTAAAGCCTCAAACTTACATCGCAAGGTATTGCATGAACCATGATCCAGTGGAGTCATTTTTCCTGCGTATTGATTGGGTGGGAGTCTAAATGCCGAGTGCAATGTCATACCAAAAACGTTAAATGCAGCTTTCCCTGTTGCTGCTGCTACTAGCACAGGAATTGCTTCACCACTTAATCCAGGTTCCTTGTCCGACATCCTTAATATGCACTGAACTATTGCAGTAATTAATCTACTCTTCCCTACACCGGCCTGCCCATGAATTACGTGGAAATTTTGTCCCGATCCTGCTTTCAAATTATGCAAAAGGTTCAATAAATACCTTTGAGATTCGTTCAAAGTCTTCATTAACTTGAGGTAATCGTCTGTTGGTATCAACTTAGGAGGTCGAATAGACATAAACTTTGAAGTTGAGTCCCCTAACTCAACAGCAAAATCTTGGTCTTCGGCAATGAACTCGATTGGAGTATGGTCGACCAAAGCATTGTCAAAAGTTTCCTCATCTCCCTGTGCCATACTCCCTGAGTCCTACCTCTAGCTCAGTTTCAAGAAAACATGGATCATATATTTGTCGTTTTTGTGTAATTTGATCTAAGAAGTTTTGATAAACTGAAACATGATCAATATCAAGAAGATCTGTGTTTTCATCCCGCCATGGTACATACAGCATAATTTGTTCTCTATAAAAATTCTCAGGATCTTGATGGAGACCGAATCTGCGATATCGGATAATTCGAGAAGTTGTTCTCTCAGTTATGTACCCACTATTGTCAATCAGACTTAATGAGGTGATCGGTTGATTAATTTGCTTCCGCAGAGAAGAGGATACTTTGGTAAAGTTATAGTTTGCAACGTAATCAGCTAAACAAAGATTATCCAATGCCCTTGGCCTCACCACATAACGTTCTAAAATTCCTTTGAGAGCTATGTCGCATGAATCTGGATCCATTTTCTCAAGTTCGTCGGCAGGCTTAACGAAAATTACCCTGTCGTCAGGTCTATTCGTATTGATAAATGTTACGTCACGCGAACTTTGTGTCATAGGAATTTTTAATAAACAGCAAGCGGCCTCTTGAGCCGATACCTCTGAGGATTTCGCAAAAGCATTGAGGCAAATGAGCTTAAGCGTTCTTTCAAACCAAAATTACCGCCCCTAATTTCCTTGCTAACCTGTCGTAAAAGTTTCGATACGCCTCGATCTGACTTGCTTATGTAATTCACAACATAACTGGCACAAGAATAGGGATCCAAAACAAATAGAATGTCAATGTTTGCTCGCCAGCATAAAAGAAGCTTCTTATTATATGCATTTATGTAAATTTCATGGGTTCCACGTCGAAGAAAAACTTTGGGAATTTTGAGGTTGGAACGAATTGAGAAAATATAATTTTCTTCAGTAAGATCCAGATCTTCAAGAAACCTATCAAAGTTAATTTCTTCTGCATGTCGCCCAAATGTGGCAAGCTTTTCTTTAATCTTGGCAAATTGTTCTTTATATTGCTTCACTTGGTTCGCAGGTAACGGAAGTAGTATTCTTGTCGTCCTCATAGGTGCAATTGGAAAACCGAACCTACATCCTCGTCGTTTGTCTTCGCAAGTATGTGAATGGTTGTGGATTTGGTATGCCAGGACTTCCTTCATGTCATCGGATTCATCTCTCTTGCAGGTTATGAATTCATCTATGAATTCACAACAAGCTTGGTGAGTTAGCGAATTTTCTTTGTCAAACGTCGGAGCATCCTTAATCCAATCCATTCCATGTGTGTGAATTGACCCGCGTTGTTGAACTTCTTTCCTTTTAAAGAAGTCCTGGTGTACATAAGGATGAAAGATTCCACCTACTGGCTTGATCAAAAATCTGTCCATTGCCTTCTCCCGTCTGTCGTAAGCCATTACACATCCTATCGGGTCATGTCTTATGAGATCCGCTTTAGCATCTAACTTCATATTAGAAACTTCTTCATTAGTTAACACGGTCCCATACTTCCTATTATGGAGCATGGAGATCAACTCGGGCCATTTCGTCTCTGCAGCTGATGTTGTAATGAAAAATGTTGGGAGTCCAAGTTGACGAATCATGGCCATTACGTCCTTCTTCTTCTCTTCCAAATATGACGGTGAGTTGACAATGTTTGACAAAAGCCGATACCCGTCATCGTGTTGAATTAAGCTCTGGACACATTGCTTGTTAAGTAGGTTTCCAACAGTCACGATCCCACGCTTTTTCTTTTTTCGAAGACATATGTTTATGTTACTAGCGATCCTATGAGTTTGAACGAGACGGTAGCTATATAAGATCTTGTCTGCTCGTCTGCAGCGTGGATCAAATCTGCGTAGTTCGGACTTTGCAATATCACTATATGACAAGTTAGCTTCTGGATTCAGTTTTCGTTTGATGCCGCAGTAAATGGATGGAAAAGATAACTCTTCGGCGTCGAGATCCATAAGTAAAGACAACGGGCGCATTCCTTCCCCAGGTGCCACTGCCATGATTAGTTGATCTTCTTGCATTAGAGTTTCCGTTAACGGTGGATCATTGTCTTCAGTTTCGGCTTTGTCACTGATAGATAAGTCTTTAATATTTTCTATGTCTGTATAACTTTGAGTAGCATCGCTTGGGTTTACTATATATTCTACTGTGTCTGTTGAAACACTATTAGCCCAGTCTGAGGATAGAAATACCTTTTCCTTTTTATACAATTCGGTACGTACTAAATAATTTGCTGCATGGAAAACTTTGTATGGTCGAATTGTTTCGAACATGTATGGATGTTTATAAGTCATGCGGCGCTTCAATTGAACCTGTACTGTACTCGTCTCATCAAATCGGCGGGGAATAACTTTGGCGACTATGTCCATGTCGTTTGGAACGTTTACTACTCCCCCTCGGATTCCGTACTGACGGTCGCACCCTAACGATCTAATCTGAGCAAACGGTAGCCTCAATGCAACCAAACGTTCCTCTAAGCTAGTCATGCTCTATAATTGATGTGGAATGGGAGGAAAATACAGTCCGTTTGACATACACAACCTGGGCACGTCACCACTCTTCAGAAAATCGTGACATGTGCCACATAAGAAGTACTTGCCATCCACTTTTAGATGGGCGAAAGGTTTCTTGGGATGAAGTTTCCTCACGACTTCCATTGTTGTCGGATGCATAGATGATCGATACCAAAGACCTCCACACGAACCACATATCCATTTAGGTTGATCAAGTATCTCACAATGGAAAGATTTACACAAAATATCAAAATTGGTCTGAGCCTTATGACGTGAAATTGCTTTTTTAATTGTGTTTTGCTGCTGTTCGGCCTGTTTGAAAGTTTCGTCTTCTCGGCGGGTAGCATGTTCCATCCGATTCCGCTCATTTTCCGCGTCGCGATAATCCTCGTTTCCTCGGCGGGTAGCATGTTCCATCCTATTCCGCTCATTTTGCGCATCGCGATAAGCCTCGTCCGCTCGACGGGTAGAGTGGTCAATCCTGTCCCGCTCTTTTTCCGCTTCACGGTAGATGGAATCCTTTCTGCGCTCGACTCGTCCCGCTGCATCTCTTTGTTGCTCTTGCTGTCTTAGGTTTTCATCCATCCTTTGTAATTTTTGCGCAACTGCATTTTTCGCGGCTTCTGTTCTCCGGAACTCTTCGTGTTCTCTTTTTCTCCGCATTCTTTCTTTTGCACTAATTTTTTTGCGAGGCATTATGACACTAACAGTTACGTACCTCTCACACCGCTCGATAAGTCACAGCCGTCGATACGTCACACCACCCGATTCGTTACACCGCCTGATGTATCTCTCCGACTTGATAAGCTCTCCTCTGGATAAGTTGCTCTCCCTCTTGATAAGTTGCTCTCCCTCTTGATAACTTGCTCTCCCTCTTGATAAGTTGCTCTCCCTCTTGATAAGTTGCTCTCCCTCTTGATAAGTTGCTCTCCCTCTTGATAAGTTGCTCTTCTTCTCGAGTAAATAATTGGGTATGCAATTCAAAAAAACAGCGACCAAGAATTTTTAATAATTCTGCATTATTAAAAATACGGATGTTTTCTAATTCACAGAGTTTTCTATTGTTTCTATGTCTGATTTGCCGGACCATAGCTACAAAAATTTAAATTAAAGGATGCATTTCTAGAATTTATTTCCTAATATCCATTTTTATACACAAGTCTATAAAAATTTGAGCCATGATTATGTCAAAATTGTGTACCGATTCCACCCACTTAAGTATAACAGGGCGAGCTTCTTCTACCGCTACAACGGTTTACTTTTAATACGGATAATAATAATAATAATAATTACCCATCACCCTTATTTTTTACGTAACACCGACGAAACTAAATATACAATAATTTGCTTTTCAAAGATTAACCGAGAGCAATAAATTAATCGTATTGTCCAAAATATTATAATAAAAATCGCACATCGCTGCTCCCCTAATGAAAAACAAAGTTGAATTCCCAATCCCCGCCGGGGCTCGAATCACCGCTATGGACTTTATTTTCTTTCGTAGAAAATTTCTAATTTTTCCAACCTTCACAAATCCTTGAAGTTGATTCATTTGTTTTACCACAATTTCTGCTACATCACCAATTTCAAGGAAAAAATAACCAATTGGCGTCTCTACAAGTATTGCTCCCGCGAAGAAGGGAAATACAAGGTAAAAATAAAATGGCAATAAATTATACATTTTTAGCGTGACAAAATTCGCGATTAACAAAATGAAAAAATCTGCCAAGAAATACACCCCTGCGAACCAGTTGAGTGTGTATTTATCCCATTGGAAAATTATGTGCAATTTCTGATAGGTTGATATTACTTGAGCACATCTGACAGGAATTTGTGTACGTTTTTTTGCGCAATATGGCAAAAGCTCAGAGATTTGGTACAGGTAAGATTTAAAATATATGAGTCGCTGCATTCCAAAGACGGTTATGCAGGAGAACGTTCTCAAAGTCTCGGTAATCCCGAAGCTTAAATAGATGAATTTCCCAAAACCTGTGACTAAGTTGAGCCAAAAATTATCCGGGAACTTTGGCCCTCCAGCTATTTTATAGAGGACAAATGGAGCCCCGATATTGCGGTGGAGGTAAAATGGCACCATGGCGAAAGGAGCGAGTACAAAGGCGATTGGAATTACTTGAAATAAATGGAGAATTAATTTTGGCCCGGAGGAGTGGTCTAATCTAACTTTGATGCTACTCTGAATCCAGTTTTCTGTGAAAAGAAACAAATCTGATTTAACAAATTGCCAAATGAACTTCGTAATTTTTGTAAACATTTGTATTTATGGTCGGCATTTTAATGTAATAACTATTTCCAGCCACCAACCAGTTTCGAACCAGAGACCTCTGAGGAAAGAGATGGATGCTCTAACCACTCAGCTATGGCGCCGGTTCTCAATTAATTAATACCTTTTTTTGGAGGGCAGGTGAGAAATCTTTTTTAAATGTAAAAAGTTCGTACTATGTAAAATCTAAAAGTCTCTGTTTTTGTTTTTTTTAATCATTATTAGTTTGACAAATCTGAAATTATGTAGTAATTGTATGCCACATTACGGGAAAGATTGCTGAAAATCAATTGTTTATTAAATTCTGTAGAAATTTCCCTATCAACCGCTTTTGAATAGCGATTACATTTGCCAATCAATCAATACCACTGAAATTGCTGTAAATTATTCATTTTCTTGTAAATGTTATGAGCCTCCTACCGTTCCGGAGGTTCATAACTATTGTAAAATTTACTCAATCGAACTAAAATTATTCACTAGAATTATAAAGATTAGAAAATGAATAATTTACAACAATTTCAGCGATGTTGATTGGATGACAAGTATAATCGCGATCGACAGTTAGGCACTTAACATTGGATTAGGTTACTCATCGCCTTTGACGTGACTGGTGTAAAAATCTGCACATTTTTACTCATTTCTCTATTCCGGGATTTTATTTAAAAATTCGATCAGATCATTTTGTAGAGCAAGTCAGTACCAATTTATTAAAAATATGCGCTCTATATTTTAATAGGTATTGAACGAGGAGACCCAAAATGAGTAAGGATCGTCAGAAAAATTGGGTGTAAATAGCTTTGGCATATCACACTCAAAATAAGGTAGTAATGAATCATTACCATGCGGAATGACTATGTGGCTCTACCACGTCGGTTACGATTTGTCGTAGAAATGGTAATAATAATTTCAGAGAAATTCAAATTCATTACCAAATATTAAGGAAGTGAATACCATTATTTATTAAATTTGAATTTCCCTGAACTTATTATTACCATCTCTACGACAAATCGTAACCGACGTGGTAGAGCCACATAGTCATTCCGCATGGTAATGATTCATTACTACCTTATTTTGAGTGCATCCTTAAAAAGTTCATCGACATTTTATTAATCTGTTTATCGACTAAAAAATGCATTACACTATAATTTTTAAATAAAATCCCAGAACAGAGAAATGAGCAAAAATGTGCAGATTTTTACACCTGTGACGTCACTAGCGATGAATCACCTGATCCAACCTTAATGCAGATAATAATAATACCTACCACGCGTTAATCCACAATATTCCTGAATCAGTATGTTTCCCACATTTGCTACGGTTTCCATCTTCCCGGACAGTTCGTAGTAGGCTACACTTCCAAGAATGTAGCACACCGAGGCAAAGACGCAGATAATAATTTGTTTCGTTTCGAGTAGTTTGGTCTTTGCAAGGCTGACAAAACCGAGAATACCCAGAGAACAGAATGCCGTGCAAAAGATGCAGAAACGAACGACAATTGTACAAAGTGTGGAACGCCACGAGTTTCTCTTCATGTGGGATAAGCGTCGTTCCGAAATATTGAAACTGATCGGATATCCCCAATGATATTTGTAGCATCTTGAAAATGTGGTGACAAGATGCCAAATATTTTCAGTATTCATTTTATATTGTTTTCTTCAACGTGTTGATCTTATACTTTCAGGAGTTTATGGATAAATCAATTTTCGCTTTAAACGATTTTCAGGAATTTTTCGAACTAGACAATGTTCTGCAATAGATTAAAAACTTTACTAATATGTACAGCATGTACAATACATACCTGTGTGACTATTCCCGATTTCTAAAAGTGTAGTATCACGTGCTTACACCTTCTGATATGGGTTAGGTAACGTGTAAAGGGTGTTGATTTAATTTCTCCCCACTTCATCCTGCAAAAAAACGAAAGCTCATTTCTCAAATCCGTGACACGCAACGGGCCCAATTTTGTTTTCGAACATACCTTAGTATTTGGCCTTTCCACTGTCCACCCCAACGACGTCCTCAGATCGTTACTCGGAACTCTGCTATTTTTTAAAACTAATTTTTGATATGGAATTGCACTTCTCTTTAACTTTCAATGCTAACTACGCGGTTGTCTGTAGGTTTGGATCTTTATGCATATCCTCCTTAAGTATGAGCTATAGGTTCTTCTCAAAACATCCACATCCGGATTTTTATCGGACCACACCCACTTGCCCCAAACCGTTTTACCTTACCCTTCACACGGCAGTATTGTCATTTTTGCCGTGTGAGTTCCAGGACAATCCTGCATGAAAAGTGCTGACTAAAATTTGGAAAAAATTCCTTGTTTCACATGCTATCAAACCATTTAGGTTGAATTTTCGCTATAAAATTGTTTGCATTGATTTGTGCCATATTTGTAGCATATGCAGACCAAGCGCAAAAAACTACCCACTACCGTAGCTTTCGATCCACATTTTGAAACACTCATAAGTGGTACATCCGAGTTTTCTTCGGTTTTGAATCTTATACGCTGTTGGTTCAATTCTGGATATAGCTTTAATTGAGACTCATCAACCCAAAGGATATAACGACGCAGTTCTTGACATTGTCTCTTTATACCTAAATCACCACTTTTTTCAAGTATATATTTCTCCAAATCTAACTTGGTCGTTGATGTTCCTTGGATACAGTAAGTTTTCCTAGGTTAGGTTATAAGTGGTGTGACCCAAATTAGTCGATTCTATAAACTTCTGCACAGTCGTATGCTCAATTTACTTGCAAGTAAAAGCGCTTAAAAATCCTCAGCAAGCTGAGATTTTTAAGCGTTTTTAGCCATTTCACTCTTTTGCACAATTAAGCACCAAATTTCCGGGGTTTTTTAAATCCAGCTCTTAATCACTCTTTTTATACTAGCTGACATCTACCTACGTCGTTCAGACCGCTTTTTGAATATGAAAAAATTTCTGGTCCTCCATGTTGTAACCATTTTTCTGGCAAGTCTGTCTTTGTCCGAATTTTTAAAATATTTTAATTCCTGCTCAACTAAACGTTTTATCTCAATTCTAAGGTGATTACGATCGACCTCTCATATTGGACTACTCATGGTAGAATTTTCAAAAATAAAGACTATGCAACAGGTAAAAGAATTGTAGCTGAATTTGTCGCCATTCGTGAAGCAAGAAATGACTGGGGAGAAATTAAATCGGCGCCCTTTAATTTCCTGCTTGACTGGTAGTGGTTAGTTTTTGAGTAGTAAATTTTGTATTGTCACAGCATTAATAAACGATAACGCCCCCTTATGGTGAGTCCAACGTCTAATCGGTGTGGGTGTATTGATTAAGTTTTCGAGAATCTTCTGCATGTATGTATACATACATACAGACATGTACATATGCCGGAT